CTCTCTCTCTCTCTCTATACCTCCCCAATATCCTTTTTTCTTCTTTTTGTTTTGTGGTATTGGCTTTTCGTTTTCCTTTCGGCTTTCGCCTCCACCAAACGCCACCAGTCACAGGTGAGTGTCCGCCGGCCCGCCACGCTCTCCCCTCCGTCTATTCATCACGCCCCGCCCGTGCGGGTGCTGCCGCACATTAGCGGCGCCGCTCTGCCTCCTCCTTCTCCTCCGGGTCCACCGGGACGCCGTCGAGCTTTGTGAGCTTCGTGAGGCGCTGCAGCACCATGTAGCGGTACTCCTGCATCGACGGCGCGTTGTTGCAGATGGGGTTGTTGAGAAACAGCACGTCGACCAGCTCTGGGCACTGGTTCGCCAGCCGGTCGATCTCCGTCCAGCTACTGATGAGGTTGTTGCTCATGTACAGCACCTTGAGGTTCTTGAGCTTGTCGAGCCCAGTCAGCTTGTCGATCTTGTTGTACGAGAGCCACAGCTGCTCCAACTGCGGAATGTCAAGCTGCTCAACCTTGCGGATGGCGTTGCGGCCGAGCGAGAGCACCTTGAGCTTCTTCAGCTCCTTCAGCCCCGGCCCGATCTTCTCAATGCCGTTGGTGGAGAGCCCGAGGTGCTCGCAGTTGGCGAGCGTCGCTATGTCCTTGTCCATCTTCACAATGGGCGGCAGCATGCCGATCAGCAGCACGCGCGGCTCCTCCACAGCCACAACACGCGGCGCGTTGGCGCGGTCCTCCTCCGACATCTCGGCGGTGCGGCGGCGGTACTCCGCCTCCTCAAAGCGCGCAATCGCCTCCTTCACGGACGTCGCCGATGCCATCTCTCGACAAGAGCAGCAGCAGCGGCAACAGCGGCGGAGGTAGGAGACGCGGAAGCAGTCAAGAAGTCAACGCACACCAGCAGACGCACACACAGCAAGAGGGAAACACAAGACACACACGAGTAGATATCTCGCTCTCTCTCTCTGTGTATGTGTGTTCGTGTGGGAACAACGCCGAACAACAACTCTAGACGAAGCCTTCAGCAGTTACGTACGATTGCAGAGGAGGAGCCCTTCACGTTTCCCCCCCACTCTTCTTCTCACCCCTACGGAACACCCACACAGAGAGGCAGTAAGGAAAACAAACCACAAACCAAACAACAAAAAAAAGAGACACAGAGCATACGACAGTGGAAGACGCAAGGCAGCAAACGTCCGAACGCGGCTGGCACCGCCACGGCATCCCAACACCCGCACATCACACCGCGAGCCGCAAAAGCAGCCAGATGGCCCACACGGCAGCAGCAGCAGCCTCACGGCACGGCACAGCACGAGGGCACAGGAAGCAAAGGCCACCGCAAAACCCGAAAAAAAGGAGAATAAGAAGCCAAAGACGAAGCCAGCAAAGATCCACCACACAACACACAAACCACCCTTCCACTTACGCACCGCAAAGGCAAAGAAAAGTAAAAAAAAAAANAACACACAAACCACCCTTCCACTTACGCACCGCAAAGGCAAAGAAAAGTAAAAAAAAAAAGCAGTTCCTCCCACACGTGTGTGAAAGGCACACGGCCCCACCCGCAGAAGCTCCTGCGTGGTAAAGCGCCATTAGATCACTACAAAAGAGACATCGAGAATACGAGCAACAAAACAAAACAAAAAAAACCCGCGAAGACACACACACACAGAACAGAATAAACAACAACAACAGCAGCATGACAAACAGGTCCCGAAAAACAAAAAGCGGTCTTATTGCTTTTTATATAAAACTAAACAACTTCGCTATTCAGACCCATCACCACAACGCATTATCTCACACGCCACCACGATCTCAGCAAAAAAAAAAAAA